GAGATTATTAGAAAATATTTCAATTCTCTTAAGCTCACAGGGAGTTGGAAAGTTGATTCGCTAGATGGCCGTTACGTTCTCATTCAACTCTCAAATGACTTTGATTATACCCAACTCTTTGCTCAAAAAGTTCTCAAAATCGATAATCGCTTTATGAAAACTATGAAATGGACAGTGGATTTTGATCCTAAATCGAAATCTCCTATTATCCCGCTTTGGCTTAATTTTTCAGGGTTCAAGGTGCATCTCTTCAATTATGAAACTGCTGAAGGTCGATACTCCCAAGCTTGATACAACCAGGCCATCTGAAGCTTGTGTGCTTGTAGAGCGCGACATCACTCAACCCTTTCCAGGGGAGATTTGGATTGGCTCTCCTCATTAGGGTTATTGGAAGAAGATTGTGATGAGACCTCATCCCCGATATTGCTCTCAATGTGGAATGTTTGGTCATAGCTCTTCATCCTGTTATCGATTGCATCCCCATCTACGGCCGACTGTAGCCCCACCTCCTGTTTCTCAGCACATTTCTGTGGAGGATATACCCTCTTCCTCACTGCCTGTGCTACCTACTGCTATGCTCAATGCGGATACGGTGCAAAATGGTTTTTCTACTGATATTATTGAAGGCAGGATGCGGTCACTGCCCCTTCTTCTCTGGAGTGGACATACCAGACTCTACTATGAAGGCAGGATGCGGTCACTGCCCCTTCTTCTCTGAAGTGGACATACTATCCTCTCAGACTCTACTGACCGTGGAGGGTGCTCAGGCTCCCCTCTATGAGGTGATTGAAGATAGGGATGAAGCGAACATTGTCATTCAGATGACGGAAAAGGTGTCTCCTAATACTAACGAGAAAGAATTAGAGCCAAACACAAACCATCTTACTGCTATTAATCAGTTGGTAGAACTACCTTTAGAGAGGGTAGGTGTTTACCAAGTATTGGAAGATTGTCCTACAGGAAGCCATTGTGGCACCTGCCTTTCCTTCTACGGATCATACTGAACAGTCTTCAGTAGAAGAATGACAAGTATACACTTCTTGGCGGAGGAAGAAGGCTGGCGACATTGTTTGGCAGTGTTCAACTTGAAAACTTAATGGATGATATCTTGGTCATTCCTGGTCACTCCTGACAATGAAACAACACTTCAGAGTTTGCTATCTGGATCCGCTCCAAGAAACAGAGGAAGAAGCAGGTCTAGACTGCCTCGTCCATAGACACTTGTTTTTGGATGTTTTCTTTTTTTGATTTCACCAGACCGTTTGTAGCTTATGTTTTAGTTGAGAGAGATATTACTCAACCAACTCGGGATGAGGTATGGATTAACACCACTCACAATGAGTATTGGCAAAGGGTTGAAATAGACTCACACCCTTCTTATTCCTATCATTGTAGTATGTTTAGCCACAGTTCTATTATTTGTTATTGCTTGTATCCTCATCTAAGGCCGAATATCGCTAAAGATCAGCCACTTACCATCCCTACTGAGAAGGTACAACCCGATCCTCTTTCCAACACCGCAGTTCCAGATGAAGAACACCATACTACAGGTACAGATTCAAATGTGCTGATACCACTCACTGTTATTGAAGCATGCCCACTTACATGCGAAGACACACGAGAGTGCTCATTCGATCCGATAAAAAATCAGCTGGTACAACTAGTAGTTGCTTCTAATGTTCAACAACCTACACATGTCCGAAACACTTTAGACCATTCCACTGATCAGGTGAGTCAATCTTCAGATGAGGAATGACAGGTCTACTCCAGGAGGAAGAAGAAGAACAGAGACCGACTCGAGCTCGGGAATTTATTAGATGATACATTGGTTACTACTGGTAATGACACTCATCTTACCAATTTATTAGCTAGCTCATTCCCTAATGTTCCTCAATGTTTTCATGATGCTCTTGAAGTTGGTGACGATCATACATTCATAAAAAAATTGGAGAAAAAAATGGGAAGTCTCCTCTTATTCTCACAGAGGTTGAAACCAGTACTCTTGCGTCCTCTTGGCGTTTTGCTCTAGTGGGGAAATTTCTTTATAATAACCCAAAATTGGAGATCATTTGGAAAGTGTTTGAGGCTATGAAGCTATTGGGTAGTTGGAATATTGGTTTACTCGACGGTCGGCACATACTGATTCAGTTGTCTCATGATGTTGATTTTACCCGTATCTTTTCTCGGAAATTTATCAAGATCGTCAATTGTTGTATGAAAATTCTGAAGTGGCCTATTGATTCTCGCCTGCCGCTCTCGCCCCTCTTTCGAGATATTTCCTCATAGAGTGACTGACACTGGTCAAGGTGATCGCCTCAGGGGTTCTTTCATACACCGCCGGTCTCGCCAGTGATAACCCCGCTCCCGCCCCTTTCAAATATGTTTCCGCAACGTTACCACGATACTTTTGCTCTTGGCGTTGAAACCAGATTTCTCAAAAAAGCTTCCCGTAAAAACGACAAATCTGCAATCTTTCTCACCGAGACCGAGATCTCCACCCTAGCTGTGCCCTGCCGACTGTTCTTAGTTGGTAAATTTCTTTATGGAAACCCTAAACTTGAGCTAACTCGAAAGAATTTTGAACAAATGAAGCTGAAAGGGGGTTAGAAGATCAGTAAATTGGATGGTCGCCACATTCTTATTCAATTATCAAATGATGAAGACTACGCTCATTTGTTTGCGAGAAGACTTCTTCGAATAGAAAATCAGGTGATGAAGGTTTTAAAATGAACGCTGGATTTTGACCCTCGTACTGAACCTCCTACTATTCCTGTTTGGCTGCGCTTTCCAGGTTTGAAGATCCGCCTTTTTTATCAAGAGCTTCTCTTCGCTTTAGCGATGGTGTACTGTAAACCCCTCAAAACTGTCACGCTTACAATGAATCTAGCTCGATTTTCAGAAGCCAGAATTTTGATAGAATTGGATATTACTTTACCTTTTCCAGGAGAAATATGGATTGACACACAACATCAAGGATTTTGGCAGCAAGCAGAACTTGAACAGATACCACTTTATTGTACCCTTTACCGTATGTTTGGACATTCTCCTTCTCAATGTTATCAATTGCATTCAAATTTAAAACCTTGAAGTAAAAACGATTCTGGATCTGCCCCACCTCATACATGTTTCTCTTCCGCTCCTGAGTGCATTCCACAAACTATTGAAACACCGGTTGACACGATGTCACCTCCCTCTCCCACTGCCGGAGACAATACTATCTCTGTTCTTCCGACTGATATATTGGCAGATGGTTTTCTTAAGCCTTGAGCCCGATAATCAGGATATTATTGAAGCTCCACATCCCTAAGATGCATCAGGTGTTGAAGAGACATGTTTACCATCTTTTCAAAATCAGAGCTGGGGGCTCATTCTCTCCTACATGCCCAACAATTTGTTGACCACATCGATCAGATGAGCCAGTCCTCGGATGAGGAATGACAAGTTAACACATCTAGAAAGAAAAAGAAGAATGAAGACTAACTCCAGCTTGGAAACTTAATGGATGATACTCTAGTAACTTTGGGTAATGAAACGATACTCAGCAATTTGTTAGCTGTCTCCGCTCCTAGAACAAGAGGCAGAGGCAACACCAAGTGGCCCGTGCGTAGCAGCTTCTTTCATGCAAGTTTTGTTTTTTTTTTGTGTTTTGTCTATGTTTCATCCTTTTAGGATGCTTGTGTATGATGTATTTAGGATGCTAGTGTCTGATGTATCGTATGGGTAGGACACCTTTTTTGGGTCCTCTCATACAACCTCTATGTATCTTTTCAATTTCAATAAAATTAGCCCTTGGGCGTTTATAATATATATATATATATATAATATTGAATGTAGTGAGCACATAAATGATGTCTATGTTGACCGCTTGTATATGCGTGATTGATTATGATGAAGTTATTAACAAGTGGGAGAACGCTAAGAAACTCGTGTATGTAAATGATAAAGATATTGATAGAAAATCACCTTAATTTGTACATTTTATTAGACGATGCTCACTTTTGACTGTTGTACATATATAAAATTATATATATATGTTATTGGTATAGTATAATTCATTGAAGAGCATCATAGTCTTAAGATATGAAATATTGATTTATACATACATACTGTTTTTTTCCCTTATATTACTGTACTATAATCTTTGACATTTTTTAGCTTACTGTTATTTTAAATTAATTTTTTAAGGTTAGTTTAGTTGATTAAAAGATGAACGATTTAGGAGAAAATATTTATAAAAGACGCGGACAACCTCTAATAAGTTAAATTTAATCATACTGCTTTAATTTAATTTCTTTAGCAACTTTTTTATTTGTTAATGTCTAGTTATAGAAAATGAATGTAGATATCTTACTTAATATCGTCTGACCGTCTGTACCCTCCTTGGTTAATTCTAAACCCCAGACCGGGTTGTGACAATTGGTGTGTGGGGTGACAACAAGGCTGGGAAGCGAGAGAGGTGGATGAAAATAGAGGAACTGCAGGAATCACTCACAAAAGCTATTGTTGCAGGTTGTTGCAGCGAGGTACGATGACTAAGAGCAACGTAGGGATGATGGGGAAGGGGATAGAGAAGATTATTATCACTTTGGGAGAGATACAACCGGAGCATCACCAATACCCTTAGATAGAGCGCTCAATGGGAGAAGATGGATGCCGGCGACTATATATCCTAAACAAAGTCACGTAAAAGGCTTCACAGTCAAACCCTAATACAACGCATATTTTGAAAATGACTAGAAAGGAATGAAAGGAAAGTAGGAAACCTACTAAAAACTTAAAAAAATTGATTGAAATTCTTTTGGTTCAGCTTTGCATTGTTCATGCAACCCAGGAACCGCAGCGGGTTCAACCATGGCAAACACCCATGTCATGAAATTTCTAGCATATATATTTTTGCAATATTTGGTTAATTTGTTTGCTTAAATTTTCTCAAAGCATCTACTAGTTGGAATTTTTTTGGTCTACTGCCAATCATTTCTCTTCGTTCAATTTTTTTGCAGATATTTTGCGAGCGTTACAGTCTTCTGAGGATTCATATATCTATGATCGGGTTGTATCATCTATATTTGATTTGGAGCGTTTAGAAATGAAGGCGCCACATCTGCATGGTGGTAGTTTAAAGCTGGTCAAAGATGCCCCAACTTTTTTGCAGTACGCAGAGGCGGATACTGAACTTCAAGACAGTGCTATTGAAATCACCAAAGAAGTATTTTCACAGCATGGAGCCAGAAGATTAGAGATATCGCCTATGCGTATAATTGATGGTTGTCAACCTTTCAACAGGTTTCTTTCTCATATTCTCTGAAGTGCAACTATTTCAGTCATTATTTCTTAAAGCTGTTGCTACTTTTCACTTCAGAAGTACTTAGTTTTTTTCTTGCACTGAGGAGGAATACTGTCAAACTTCTGACTTCTGGAGGGGATATGCTTGAGCTTTGTCATGAGCTACGTACACCTTTTGTTAACTGGGTTGTGGCTAACCAGGTATCTAAATTTCGATGTAATTATTGAAATTCTAATTTTGCATAATCCCAATAAGGACCAAGCTGATCTGATATCTTATAAAGTTATTTATTTATTTTTTATCATGCGTGCATTTCTTTTTTCACGTAGTTTTAGTAATCGTGTATAACCGTAATTTTATCATCTACTTTTCATGCAGTCTGGTTACATTTTCCAGATATGATTACTTGATGGTTTCGCTGCTTTAGTATATGGTTGTTTCTTCCTTTGTTCTGTCCACTTCACCATTCGTTTTTCAATTAAAATTTCTGTATCAATGTTTTACATACATAAAACTTTTTTTCGCATTGAAAAGCTTGCTATTACTAGGAAGTCTATAGCTTAGGGGCATTTTTGCATGCAGTTTGCTCCAGAGAATAATGAAAGCAACTCTACAAAGGCTTGCGTTTGCTCCCCAGTTAACGTATTCATGCTTTGGTTAATTGGGCAATGTAGTCTAACCATAATTGGGGTGGAGGGAATTTAGTTTGAAATTCTTTATAATTTCCATTCAAGTAATAATAAATGCATAATGTAAATAATTATTAGAGAGACCAATTAAACAACCATGCTTAGATATGACGATTTGTAGGTAAATGGAAATGTGGAACCCATGTTGAATGTTATGGTTGAACAGGTTGAACATGAACCCGTGCTTACGACGCCGTCCACGTCTTGCTCCTCTGAGTTAACATCGAGCTTAACAAATAATTTGAAGACTTATGTTAAGCACAAGAATAAAAGGGCAATTTAGTCATTTGTTAGTTATTATTATGAGGTATAAATAGGGTTTAATATGTTTATAGTTAGGCTATATGTGTTTGTTGTCTTGAATTTTAGGGTTAGGGTTTGGGAGAGATCGTCTACACCTTGAATTTTATATTACTACCTAGCCCGGGAAATGAAATTAACTAAGTCGGGAACGAACAATTGGCTGGTGGAAATCATCTATGTCTTTCTATTTTAATCACAAACAATTTAATATTCAAGTATTCATGAACGAATCACTAAAGAAAATTTAATCAACAAGTAGAAATTTATACTTTTTCGATTGTTGATCTCGCTTCCTATACATATTTACTTCTTTTCTATTCACCTTGTTTAAAAGCTTAAAACCTATAAAAATATTAAAGCAATATAATGACTTATCTAAAAATAACATTTGAGTAATCGCACTTCTAAATTACAGTAACCCGTGAAAAGAAATCGATATGTTTGTCGGTCTTTCTCATCTCTATAAGAAATTATATAATGCTAGTTTTTCATATTTCTACAAGAAATCTTTGAATATACTAATGCAGGTATCAATGATATTTTTTTAATTGAAACTATATGCATTTACTTTAAATTTATACTCTTTACATACACATCTGTCTGTTTCAGGATCACCGTCAACATAACCTAACACAATCTTGACTTATATTTTCCAGTTGGCACAGTAATTAGTGATCTAAATATCACAATTGTCTGGAGTAGAAATGTTTTTACGTGCCCCTAACCGATATTATCCTGTCGGTATTGTGGTTAGCGATATAAACATCATAATTGTCTAAGGCAGTAAGCTCTGTTTACTTGTCCCTGACCGATATTATCTTATCAGCAGAGCAGCTAGTTATCTAACCATCATAATTGTCTATAGTGGTCTAAAACATTCGTCTCTTGTTTGTACCATTAAGGGTTGAACTTCTCTGAATGCGCATATACAAACATTATTATATAAACTATTTCAGTTTTTATGACATACATTATTTTGAGACATCTTAATGGATCTACTAAAATACATGCTTACTCTAATGTGCAACTATTCATCATGGATATCTCTTTTATCATGCATATCTTTATCTCAGTCATATCTTTTTTATCTTACATATCTTTCATATCATGCACATTTTTTCCTACTATGTTTATCATGTGTATCATGCATATCTTTCATATATTTTTCTATCATGCATATCATGCATATTCTTATGTCTAACAATATAAAGAATATATTGTAATTTGAGACCTAAATAATTTAGAGCATACATGAAGTCAAATATACATCTTAAATAAAGAAGATTACAAAAATTTAGAAATAAAAATACTCACATTGGTTGTCACGCTAGATTCTTGATTTTTGGTAACTAGTTGGGCTTTGCGATAACCTTTATCTTGATATTAATAAACTATAAAATTTAATATCATTGTTTAAGATTCAAGCAATTTTTATTAATCAAATTATTCTTCTTAGCATATGATTAATTTGGCTAAATTGTTAGAGGGCAATCCTATGGTGAATTTCTACATGCTCGTCTCAAACTCGCAGCCTCAAGTAAACAGTCTAGAATTTTTAAATATCTTTGGATTTTAGGATATCTTGGCTCATAAAGTGATTTAACTCAAAACATAATTGATTAGTCTAAGCGTACCTTAAACGGCTTTCACGGCAACCTGTCGTTCTCTAAAACAACCAAACCTTCTGCCCCTTTCTTCTTATCTACTCAGTCTTTTCCTATCTTCATTGATTTCTTGCTTAAGACCCATATGAAAGCTCGCAAACCAATTTCGTTGCTATCGACACAACCTCATCTCTGCTATGGCGAGCAGAAATTAAAAGATGTATGATTGGTGGAAAATCTCAAAATGAAATGTGAGAAAGGAAGTGAATGTCTTAAATAATGTGAAAGAAGGTTTCACGCTCATTGATTTCACCCTCGAAGTCTGAACCATGAGAACAAAACTGGCTATTATATTTTAGTTCTATCTTTTATTTATTTTGGATTGTATTGATTTGACTGTGTATCAGCAACATAAGATTCATTATTTCTGCTCAAATTTCTGCGGAAAATGGTCTCATTTCTATGAGATAGTTGGGCTTATGTACTAACATGTATTAAATTTACTTGATTTTACATATATCTTTCCTGCATATTAGATGTTATTCTTACTTAATTATCACAAATTTACGCTTGAGAACTTTTTTTTGTTAATGTTGTGCAGGTTATAGAGTTGAATACGAATAATTTGAAATGAGAAAATTAAGCAAAAAAGTGACTTGAAGCGGCGTGACCACGCCTGGAAGTGGTGTGACCATGCTAAGTATTGAAGCAGTGTGGCACGACCATGTTGCATCTGACGTGACCATGCTTCCTTGTGCAGAATAGCGACATGACCACATCACTGTCTGCAGTCTAGTGGCGTGACCATGTCGGGTTTGGGCGTGACCACACCGACGAGTAGGAAAACACTTTAGGAAATAAATTTGATGGCCCAAGTCGTGATTCTTGATATAAGAAAAATTTTTAGGGCTCCATGGGAGGAGTTTGGTATCCAAGAGTCGTTGGAGGCGGCTAGGGGCAAGGTTTGTAGAGAGTTTGAGAGTTTTTCTCAAGGTCCTCCTCCTTTGGTAGAAACCTTGTAGGGTGAGAGTTTCTTGTAGTTTATGAGTTTTGAGAGACATGTATAAGAGGGAAGGAGTCTGCAATTGGGGAGGAAACAAGTTTTCACAAGTTTTACATGTTTTTGTTTCTTGCAATGAATTCTTGCATCATTTTCCATGCTATAATTTTCTCGACAATGTATGACTAAAATAGTTCTTTGTCTCTATGATGTAGTAGTAGTGAATTCAATCGTTATTTTTCCGTAATGTTTTTCCCCTAGCATTTTCTTTTACTTTCATGGCTTATATTATTGGTTAACTTATAAACTTAATTTTATTCCTAGTCTACTCAACTAGGATGTTAAAATGATTCGTGAAGCTACGACCTCTAATCCTTGCATAGTGAAAATGAAGGGTTAACCACAGAATTATGTGAGGATTGACATATTGCAGTGGAATTCTGCAATCATCTCAGGGGATCAGAACAGTTATGCAAAATACCACGGGAATTGAGGAAGCCTCAACTCCATGTATTCTAGGCTTCTTTTGACCTAAACATAAGTATAAGGAATACTATATTCCTGATTTACAACAATCACGTAGGAAAACATTTAAGAAAATCACGATCACCACGATTCTCGAATCACAGAGGCGCGAGCTTCATAAATCTTGAAGTAACTCACAAAAATCTTTCCACTGTTTTTGCTTTATGTTGTCTGCTAATTTCTCTGCTTGCTAGAATCTTAAGATTTAAATCTTCTTTTGTGAACACTTCGAGCTAGGTTGACTAAATTAGTAAGCTAAAGAGTTTTCTATGGAAACAAATTGCTTACACTTTCCTTGTAGAATCGATGTGGACCCTTAGACTGCATACTATTTAAAACATGCATTTGTGTTGTACAGCGACATGAAAACATGCATTTTTGGCGCGTCATGTAGATTTGCAGATATTGGACTGTATAGTGGCAAAGGTCATCATTCTTAGAAATAATGATGATTACCAAACCTAAACAATACAACGGATTTTGAGTGTAGAGACCACAGCAAACACTGGTTTGTAGGTAGGCAACAAATGCCACATTCCGTGGTGTGATGGAGCATTTGAGTGTAGAGACCACAGCAAACACTGGTTTGTAGATAGGCAACAAATGCCACATTCTGTGGTGTGGAGCACTAGAATCGGAAGTAGTGAACAGCACTCCGATTTGAGGCAATGACAAACATAAGGCTTGAAAATGTGACATTAATTGAGCTCAGAGAATCTTTAAATGCTAGGCTTAGATGTGAACACAATTTTTCAATCTGTTTATAACCTTAACTTGAATTAGGCCCGCTGACATTTTGTGCTTTAAGCAGTGGAACCTTGCTAGTGAGGATTCAAAATTCTATTTAACGATTGAATTGTGGGATTCTATCTATTGACTTTGTCAAAGCTCAACTTGTCAGATCATATGTTGTTTTTATTTGATAATCAGCATGTTTTCCAATCTATTTTGGCTTGTTCAGTTTTATGCATATGTTTATGCGTGATGTTTCGTGATAATCACTGTTCAACCAAATTATTTTTAGGTATTTTCTTTCAAACGTTATGAGGTCAACAGGGTATATAGGAGAGCTGTTGGCCATTCAACTCCAAACCGTTTCTATCAGGTAGGCTTTGCATCTACAATAAATTAATCTCTCAGTAGGCTTTGTATCATTTAACCAAATAATGCCATTTGCTAGGGAGATTTTGATATAATTGGAGGTTCTCCACCATTACTGGAGGCAGAGGCGGTAAAGGTATGGTCTCTTAGTATTTTCATCTGTAATGTATTTCAGAACTGTATCAAATAAGTCAATTACTATACCCAGTTATTGAAGTGATACTTGTTCTTATTACTTTGAATTAAAAAAAAAAAAAAAAAAACCCTTTTCATGTTGGAGAAAATTTGAATCAAGATAAAGTAAATTCAACCTATTGGTGAAAGCACGGTACCATCCTTCCATTGTATCAAGTTGTGCGGAGCAAAACATTATCTGCATCAAAGTTGAGTAAATGATGTAGTTTAACCATTAGCTGCCTAGTGACCCTCGAAATGTGTTGGTAGTTATAATAATTTTAAACTCATTGGTTAGATTGTCTTTTGAGAAATGTTTTTTGAGGACAGTGTAACATTTTAAAGTTGTCTATTGCATATTTGCTTAATCCTTTTTTTTTTTTTGGCTGTCTCATGGGCTTTGAGCAAAGCAATAAGTTAAATAGGTTCTTTCTACTAGGCCAGGTGTGGGTCAAAAACTCTTTTCCTGATTACGTATGTTACATATTCCCAATATTTGTGTAATTCATGCCCGTTTAGCGTTGCGTGGTAAATTTGAAATTATGATAATGTGAACATGGCTGGTCCAATACACTTTCATGCTTCATTTGAAACCCAAACATTAGACGGGATCTAAAAAGAAAAAGCATTTGGTATGACAACAATCGACAAAAATTAACTGTTGGTGCTTGCATTGAAAGTATGTCGTGTTTTGTTGAATTCATTAAAGTTATTCTGATACTTGAGGGCTGAAATGTTGAGAGTTTCGAAATCCGTATAATGATAAAGCATTGATTTACATGTGTAATTTTTGGCAATGAATGGTTATTGCCTTGGGTTAAACTTAAAAAATAGTTGAAATCTCTATGTTTTTGGAAAAGTAAAACAGTGTTCGTGTCTACGCAATCTATCAGGTGGTAGTGGATATTGTATCCAGGTTCTGTCATCCAAGCATGATTGATATCCGTTTAAATCATATGCAAGTTTTAGAAGCAGTTTGGTCTTGGGCTGGAGTCTCAAAGGAACTCCGACAAAATGTTGCCGAGGTATATGCCTGTATTGCTTTTTTTTTTCCGCATGATTTCATATTTGTTTGGCCTAACATCTCTATCTCTGCTATTCTTTGGGATGAAGCTTCTTTCATTGATTGGATCTTCTCCTCCACACTCAACTAAGCGGAAATCAAATTGGGGATTTATACGCCGGCAGCTCATGCAGGTTAAAGGATATTGAATATGTTGAATTGATGCTATTTCTTATATCAACTATCAATGAATTAGCTTTTTTATCATTTAATTATCATATAATATTAGGCATTTTTAAGAGGGTTTTTTTTTTTATAGGGCCTTTCTTAGATGATATAAGATATTGTATGTTTGTGGTATTTTAGTACTTGATAGGGAGCATATAATAAAAATCAGATCTGTCTCCATTTATCGAACACCAATCCTCAATGTTTCTTACAGCTAAAGTTCATTTCTACTCCCCATTTATCGAAAACTAAGCTTGTATCTAAGCCTCGTCAATTTCATATGCTTAGATATTTTCATTTCCGTTGCATGATACTCATAGCTACTAAACCAGTGAATGAAGTTTGCTTTTGAATAACGTGCATTTTTTATTCATTTTCTTCATGCAGGCTATATGAAATGCAGTTTGATTGAAAAAAAACTATCTTTATTATAGATGGCAAATGAAAATGCTATTCAAGTCGGAAATAAAGGTTTATTTTTTATTAAACATTATCATTCCTTCTGTATGGCCTTTCAATCTAGTGAATGCATTCCAGGTACTGTATTTTAGGAACATCATGGCACCTTTGATTATCGTCTTGTAGAAAGAAATAGGTTGTAAGTTTTACCATTGGTGGAAAGTGATTAGTTAAAAATTGAATAGTCAGTCTTTTGACTTATTGCTTTAAAAAAAAAATAAAATCACATATCTCCCTCTTTACTTTTCTGCCAGCTTGTATCTGTGCCTCACATAAGAGGCCTGAGAGCGATTTGGTCCAAAAAAGATTAATAAAAAAATAAAATAAAATAATAAAAACTAAAATTATCCCCTCTTCCCACTGACTGTAGGCTCCCCATTTGGCCTCCATCTCTTGCTCTTTTTCGCCCTTGCACTTTCTTCTCCCCATTCTATTCATACTTAATTGCGAAATAGTCGATAGTGAGTAGGTGAGAAAGTTGTTGGTAATGCATCAACGAGTTGGTTGCACATGAGGAAAAAGTCGCGTGGACGCTTGTGGGAAAAGGTGACCTGGGACATGACGAGTAGCTTATGTCAAGTGCTCGTGAGTGAAGGTATTGACAGGCCTAGCAGTTCATGGAGCCAAAGGTTGCACTGAGAGTTTGTTAGAGAGGCATCGACTAAGCCTGTGGTTCTGAAGGAATGGATCACTTAATGAAACATGATCAAATTACGAAGGATTTTGAAGTTAAGGTAAATAGAGTAAAAAACATGATCAAGATTAAGGATTTTGAAGTTGTCATTTTAGTGTATCCGGCTCGAATCCTATTCCGTCCTGACTCACTCTTTCTCTTTCTCTCTATCCCTCTTCCTCTTAATAATTGATATCTCTCTCTCTCTCTCTCCCTTTCAATTTTTCTCTCTAAAATAAAGAGTTTTAAAAGAAAGAGCAATTAAAGTGGAGAAGCAGTAGACGGAAAGAAAGAAGGGAATGAAAAATTTTGGAAAAGTGATAATTGAGTGTGAGGAGAGCATGTGATTGCGGTGAGAAAGGAAACAAGGGAAGTATGCAGAGAAAAACTTACCTAGCAAAGAATTTTGTCTAAATAGCCCAGAATCATTTCGTTTTAAGTTGTGAAAAACTAAGCCTAGCTTAGGAGCACCAGGGAAATAAACTATAAAACAGTTTTGTTGGCTTAATATTTTTATGACGAGTAGGAGTTTTAAACTTCCTCATCTCATCTTAAATCAAATTAAATGTCTTATCTCCATTTTATGCAATTCAATGAAACAAAAACAAAATACTGATTTTTAACTTGTGGTTATTTAACTATCAATACCAAAGTATTTATTTTTTTGGTTAAAACTCATATACCCTTGGACAATTGTGTGTTGCAAGAAGTGTCAATTATAATAAAGATCTGTGATTTGTTCTTGTACTTCAGGATCTGCATCTTTCAGAAGTTATTGTCAATAGATTGCAAACAGCAGACCTGAGGTTTTGTGGATCTGCTGATAAAGCTTTAGCAAGATTGAGGGGAGCCCTTTCTCCTGGTAGTTATTTATTATAGATATATATGTCTACTTGAGAATATGAGCAGCTGTAGTTATCATATTGGCTAACTTTCTTAATTGATTTCGTGATAATATGAGAACTTGTTTGTAGATAAAATCACTCGTAAGGCTCTTGAGGAGATTTCAACCCTTGTTAGTTACTTACGGATATGGAACATTGAGAAAAATATCTCTTTAGATGTTCTTATCCCTCCTACAGAAGAGTACTACAGAGAACTTTATTTCCAGGTAACAGTATTAAATTTTCTTACTTTTTGAATTGCTGTTGTAGTTTACTTTAACAATGTTCTATGTTAACCAAAAGTATTGGAAAAGATTCATTTGAGATTTCTACTCTATTTATTTATCTTTTTTTATTCAAATAATTCTATATTGCATAAGTTTTATGAATTATTTTAGTTGTCTATAAGTTGACCTGTATGGTTTCTCTGCATTTAAGCGTGGTTGAATGTTGCAATAATGATGGAGAATGACTAACAATGACCATTGAATTGCATGAAGCAGGATCAAGACGTATGGTATAATTTTAAATCAATAGAGATTACCAGTTTCGCAAAATCAACTTCATTGATGCATCGAGAATATTGAAATCAGCTACCAAGTATTTCCATATCGTCTGATATTTTTTAGAGTAAAACTCAAAAATTTATTCAACAAGTATACATATATTTTCCATTTGTAAAATGGATTACACTGAAGTGCTTGAGGTGTCAAAAGTATCAAAAGAGGACCTCCACGATCGATTCAATGCTTGAGGTGTCAAAAGTATCAAAAGAGGACCTCCAAAGAGGACCTCCACGATCGATTCAATCAATTACAATAAAAAACATCAGATTACAAACACAATATCATATACATTAGGTGTGAAATCCCTCAATCGCAATTAAAATCACTGCAATATCTCCTATTTGTAAAATAGATAAGGATATGTGTGTGGAATGTCAAAAACTCTATTTTCAAAAATGTTGATGGGACACCCCTACCAAATGAGCGGGGCATGATCCTCATTGGGCGTATCCGATTCCGACGCAGTCATCTCTCCTACTCTTTGTTGTAATTGTTTCTCCCACAACCCTTTGTGGCAGGCATCTCTCCTACACTCTTCTGCGCACTTAGAAAGTGTATAAAGTAGTTTTAGCATCGTGCTCTAACCCTATCTCCCGCGAGGCCTTTTATTGTGCAGTCCACTCCTTGACATTTCTCCCACAGTCGATCGGGAGTTCCTTACCATCTTCTCATGATCTCTCGCAATTTCTTGTCTCTTTATCTGTTGCACTTTCACAGAAATAAATGTAAGCACAATCTAAATGTGCAGATTTCACTGTATATACTGTGATTTTATTATAGTTGCAGTGATTTCATTGTAACTATATTAAAATCCGTGAAATCCACATGGGATGGATTTATGCCAATATTTTGGTGATTTTAATCCTAGAAGTCTTGTTTTGAAATTGAATGAGTATAAATTCTTTTAAAATCTCTTAATAATTTTTTTTATTAAGTGCAACTAGTTTACTTTTGTTATTTAATAATTATATATTTTAATTTTTTAATTTTTTATGTAGTTTTTTTTGATATTATAATATTATTGTAACTTTGGGTGATCAAATTATTAAAAGGTATGTACAATTTAGATATCTCGGGTCCGTTGTTCATAGCGATGGTGATATAGATGGGGATTTTAATAGTAGAATTCAAGTTGGCTGGTTGAAGTGGAGGAATGCTTCGGGTATTTTGTGTGATAGAAAAGTATCGCTTAGACTGAAAAGAAATTTTTATAAGATGGTGGTAAGACCTGTATTGTTCTATGGCGCTGAATGTTGACCTTTACAAGAGAAGCATAATTCTAAGTTAAGTGTTGTCGATATGATAATGATTAGGTGGATGAGTGACTTTGCACTTAGAGACAAAATGCGAAATGAATATATCTGTGATAGGGTTTGTGTAGCTCCTGTGACGGACAAAGTTAGAGAAATTTGTCTTAGATGGTTTGGTCATATTAAACATCGACCATTTGATGATCCGATTAAGAGACTATATGTTTTAGATTCGATTTATATTAAAAAAGGCAGAGGTAGGACTAGGAAGACTTGGACTTATCTTATAAAAAATGATCTTAATTTATTAGAATTAAATAAAAATATGACATTAAATAGGACGCAATGGAGAAAAAGGATTCATGTAGCCGACCCCGCGTAGTGGGATTAAGGCTTTGTTATTGTTGTTGTGGGGCCTGTGCTCGACTCTTTGAGGTTTACGCCTCACCCTATAATAGCCAAAATGCCCCACTCAACGTCTCTGCCTTTTAAAACATTGGTAAAAAATATCCATATTACCCTATCTAATCCATGAAGGCAACACATCAAATTTGCATGTGTTAAGCAACCTCACTTGATTCAAGATGCATGTGAGATAAGAATACGTGAGAAAGGATGATACACATTTTTTTTTAAAATGCTCAACCTGTATAGATGGGCGTATAGTCCATAGGCCCTGTAATGTACGGAATGTTGAAATGAATTTCAATCATGTGCACTTTTGCGCTTCATTGTTGAGCTTTCTCTAGGTCCCCCTTCCCAAATAGCGTCTACTCCAAATGGAGCAACATGAGAAGAAAATAGCTAAATCGGGCAACTAATAATAAATACAAAAGGTGGTTATGAATATGTCTCATAAGGCGATCTTCGTAACATAGACCTGATAAGAGCAGTTTAAAATAATTTGGACCATGCTCAATTTGAGATAAAATATGTGAAAGGTTTTACAATTGCCCGTGTATCCAAAATGAGAGTAAAATTGAATTTTTCCTTTTATTTTGGATTCAGTGAGACATCTCATGACGATGTACTCTCGTGGTCAATTACATTCTGAGGGATATCCAGAAGGACTCTTGATAAAATTGTGCTTGTTTTTTCTTTTCCTTTTTTTTTTTGGGAAAAGACGTATAACAGGTTAGCAAGGAGAGTTTCATGGTAGGGGAAATCTCTTTCTTTCAAGGCTAAATAAGGTCATTGAGCAGAGGAAAAATCATTAAAACCCAACATGTAGCTACCTTTTAATAAAAGAGGGCCTAGAAAAACTATGAAAGACTCAATAAAGAGTAAGAAAGGCCCAAAAGGGACATGAGCAAGTAGGTAAGCATTTCCAAAATTGGTAGAGATTGCATAGCTTGCACTATGGATTTTTCATCGCTGGATACTAAAACCCCAAGTCTATTAAGTCATGAAGATAGCCGACCCAACACGACTATGAACTACATGTCAGCATGTTTTGTGTTGTCCAAAGAAGCTCAATAAACTTAAATTCACGGGAAAGAAATGTATAAAAGTCTATAACTCTACCCGTACAGAGAAGTCAAGAGTGACAATTATATCTACCAAGGGTATGACTAGGAAGCCTAAAGAGTGGAAAATCAATAAGTGACTATATAACCAAATCACATCACAAAGGACTTAAGATATGTTATGTTTTGGAAAGCATCTAACTCTCTAGGCATATTAGATAGCCACCTAAGCGAAGAACTTATGTCAGGCGAGTCAGGTTGAAGAATCAAGAATACTTCTCTAAACATACATATGATGAAATTATCTAACTCTATAAGCATGGAGGCCCTTTTAATATGATTGGGAAGATAGCCGTGCAATGTGTATTCATTTTAAAATTTGCAGGGTGACATGCGGGAATGTAAAATGTTGGTGCAAATGTTATGTGATATAAAGTAACAAACACTATTAAACAAGTAGCAAAAGATGTACTTGGAGAATCAAAAGAAAATGGTTCTTTAAATTAAAATAGTTGGTGGTGGAATAATAATATGCAAGAAAAAATAAAATATAAGAAGTTATGTTATAAAAATTGGTTTAAATGTAAAAGCGTAGATAACTGGAAAAATTATCAAATGGCCTGCGGAGAATCTAAAAAAATAATATGTGACGCTAAAAGTTATGTTTTTGATGATCATAATAATAGATTAGATGCTGAGGGTGAAAAATGCACGCATAAACTAGCCAAACAAAGTGAAAAGAAAAGTAAATATTTAACTCAAGTAAAGTGTATTAAAGATAAAAATCAAAAAGTCAAAAAGTGATTTTCTTAGAAATGATTTTCTTAGAAAAAGATATTCAATGTAGGTGGGTGAGTTATTTTGATAAACTTTTAAATGAAGTTTCTAAATCACGATCGATCTTAGTGATCTTAATATCGTTAATAATAATAAAATATTTCATTTTTATCGTCGCATTAGTAAAAAATAAGTTGATGAAGCTTTAAAGAAAACCAGGGTTGGAAAGTCTGTAGTTACTGATGATATCCCAATAAAAGTATGGAAATGTTTAGGAGATTTGGGAGTTTTTTTGGCTTACTAAACTCTTTAATATTATTTTAAAAACTAAAATGATGCCTGAGGAGTGGAAGAAGAGTATTTTGGTCCCCATTTTTAAGAATCAAGGGGATGCACAAGTTTGCAAATTATAGAGGAATTAAGTTGATGTGTCATACTTTAAAATTATGGGAGAGGGCAATTCAGCATAGGTTAAGACATATGTCTGGCCGCAATTATAAAAATCTTCAATTTGGTAGGTCCAAGTTAGGTGCGACTTGCGGCTCACAAGATAATAAGGAGAATCTACATTTGATTTTTTTTTTTTTTTTAAAAATCTAACGATAAGGTTCCAAGAGACATCCTTTGGAGAGTTCTTGAGAAGAAAGGTGTTGATATGAATTATATTCAAGTCATTAAAGATATATACTAGAGTTGTTACTTGTGTTTGAACTGAAGGAGGATTGACCAAATATTTTCTTATTTCTATTGGATTACATCAGGGATCGGCTTTAAGCCCATATCTTTTTGCTTTAATTATTGATTGTCTTACTGGACATTTACAGAAGGATGTACCTTTGTGTATGCTTCATGCTGATGCTATTCTTCTCGTGGATAAGACGAGAGAAAAAGCCCTGAAAAAACATGAATTATGGAGGTCTACATTGGAGTCTAAAGGCCTTCATTTGAGTAGTACTAAAACTGATACATGAAATATAAATTTAGTAGTAGTAGCTCTAGTGGCAGAAGTGTATCTTTGGGTGGTCAAATTATCAAATTGTGTGAACAATTTGGATATCTCGGGTCTGTTGTTCAAAGCAATGGTGATATAGATGGGGATGTTAATATTAGAATTCAAGTTGATTGGTTGAAGTGGAGGAATGCTTCGGGCTTTTTGTGTGAAAGAAAA